GTGGGGCTGCAGGAGGACTGAACCCCACTCTGGTCTTGTACAGTTTCTCTCTCCTCCCCTGATCTGTGTGCTGTGGAACTATGGGACTGTGGATAGTCTGTATATAGAGAGTGTGGATAATACTGTATAAGACTCTTCTGGCAGAGGACGCTTTCTGAGCTGCTCTGCTTCCCTCCTGGCACGGAAGAAAGCAGCAGACGGCTTCCCCCGGCCCCCTGGGCACGTCCTCCTTCTGTCCACTCGGCGCCCCCTGCCCCACCCGGGCTCAGCCATCTGTGCGCCGGAGAGCCCGGCCAGGGTCTGGCCGTGCCTGCCGCAGCCTGCGAGAGGGGCGCGGACTATCCCTCCCGCTCTGCCGGGGGTCCGTGCGCCCGACACTCGGGCTCCGTGACCGGGCTCGTTGAATCGCTGTCCCGGTTTTTTTGGATCTCTGTGCTTCTACGAGAATGATTATATTCACAAAAAATAATTTCAGGTTTACAATTTTACATACACTCAATTCAGTGCGCACAGGTTTTTGTCACTGGTGGGAGGGGGGATTTGCACGGCACGAAATGTTTTTGCGCACACAGGCCATTAAAAATGATAGGGAACCCCCGGAACACCTGCGTGGGGATACACACAGACCACGCGGCGCGGTTCGGTTAGGGAAAAGGAGAGAAAAGCGGAACTTCTTTTTTCTTTAAGCCTGGCCATAACATCCATACCTACGGCTTCCTTTTTATATACCGTCGCATGTTTACTTTAAAAACACGCTGTGGCGGAAAGGCCGGACGTGAGACGACGCTGGAGTTGAACACCGGCCCATAAGGAATATTTCTGGACCCTGGAAATGCAAACCTAGCAACTGTCCAAGTGCCTCCCGTCTCTCACGGTCCCAGTCCGTTCGGAACCGGGCTTGTTAGCTACTGAATCACACGGCACGTCCTGTGAAAACTCGAGAAACCCGTGTGAGGTCAACCTCGTGCAGCACAGGACTTACCCTGGAAGTGTGGGAGAGTGCGTCTGTGCTTGTGGGTGCTGGACTGGCGTACCGT